GAGAGCACACGATTCGCAACTACCCTGCCACTGTGCATGGTGCTTTGCTGAGTGGACTGAGAGAAGCAGGGCGCATTGCAGACCAATTTCTTGGGGCCATGTATACTTTGCCCCGCCAGCCTACACCTGGGGTGCCCACACAACAAGCTACCAGCATCTAAGGGAATGAGGAGGGATCAGAAGAGGACTAACAAAGCCACAGAGCTGCTGCTGGGTGAACAGCTTGGGATGAAGACATTCGTGTAGTTTGTTCAGAGCATCTGCTGAAGGGACTTGGCCATAAGTTGCTGTGTTAGAATGGCCTTATAGAAGCCAGTTGGCTTGGCAACCCTTGACAAAAGCCTCAAAAAGCTGTTTCAAGTGTCAGCATGTACAGAATTCTTTACTACCAAATTGGGCAAGGAGGTTTCTTTTGACTCTGTGGGTGCTTTCTGGAAGTCAAGCTCGTAGTTGGAGTTTTAGAGGGTTCTATTCTACCTATTCATGTATTTACAATCCAGTAACTGCAGAAAAGGCCCTTTAGAAGTTGGCTTCTACGAACTGTAGCTTAGTGTAGAATTTGTGGAAACACTTCTGCTTAATTTTGTTCTGAAGAATAATATTTGTGACCAATTTTTTTCCTCCCCAGCATTTGAGGATTTGGTGCGACCGTTTCCCTCCCAGTAGCAGCGCATCGCACCCCTCCAAAGTGTGCCAAGCATGCTGCAGTGGTAAATATTTTCAACAGAAGAAATGACCCAAACTGGACATTCCAAAGTTAAAAGCTAGGAAAAATCACTTGTATTTGTTTATATAGAAGCAGAACTGCCCAGGCAGTAAGCTTGTGAAGGACTTCATCTCAGGATCGGTGTGTGCTGCAGCTGGGCTGTGCCTGCTGGGTTTTTACCCCTTTCTTTCAAAGCCCAAAGGGAAACACTTTCCTTTCTGCTGGGTTGGGGAGACAGTGTTGTAGCTGCCAGGTTATCCTTAAAGTGACTTTGACTTGGCTGCTTTTCTTTGTTTTCCTTCTTTCTCACCCAGTGCACAAGAACATTCTCATTGTGCAGAGTGCTCTTATTTAATCACTTAGGGCCTTCTCTCCCCTATCTCTAGTTAGCACTGTGTTTTTCTTCTCTGAACTTTTCTCATCTGTCTTCGTAGAGCTTACTGACATCTCTGTGACCTTTCACACTTTTCTGCTTCCCCTTTTTTCAGTCTTTGTTCTCTCTGATGCTCTGTGTGTACATGTGTGATCTGTCCCACCTTCTGTTCTGCTGGTGGATTGGCACCCACCATTTCCTGCTCTTTCCTCAGCAGTGTCACTGCTCACCTTATTCCTGAAGGTGATGCACAGACAAACGCGACCGCAGCCCCCATTTATTTATAGCTGTGTTGGTTTTGTCTGCAGGCTTTCAGTCTTGATGATGTTGCTTCTACTGTTTTCTTGTGCCTCAGTCTTCAAGCTGGAGATCACTTTTCCTTCTGATTGTATCTGCTATCTTCATAGCAGGCACTGAGAATGGAGGGACAGTGGGATAAATCAGAGCTGGTCATCCTTGCTTTTCCTTCCAGGAGATGAGAGGACTTGGTGCTGCTTGGTTAGGAGCTGGAAGTCCAGCAGGGCACAAAGGAGCAGTGTCCAAGGGAAGTTTCAGAGGGCACAGGCTTATTTGAGACTTAAGGCTTCCCCCCTTCTGTTTAGGTAAAAGCCTACCTGGGATAGAATCCTAGAATGGTTTGGGTTGGAAGGGACCTTTAAGATCATCTGGTTCCAACCCCCTGCTGCAGGCAGGGACACCTCCCTCTAGCCCAGGTTGCTCACAGCCCCATCCAGCCTGGCCTTCAGCCCTCCCAAGGAAGGGGCATTCGCAGCCTCACTGGGCAGCCTGTTCCAGCACTTCACTGCCCTCGTGGTGATGAATACTACTGAGAGAAATGGTGTTCTGTGATGACAGTGTGACAAGCCTCTAAAATGCATCAATAGCAGATCTGTTTTCTCAGCTGTTGTGATGGAAGGTGGGAAGTGGACCTGAGGATCAGGTGCTGTGCTCTGTAACGTGGCTTTGAGCTTCTGTGGGTCTCTGTATCCATAGGATTGCTGGCAGTGCTGTGGCCATAGGATTGTGGTAGTGCTGAGGACTGTCTTCCCACTTCAGCAGTGCCAAAAACTCAGACAGGCTCTTCTGGTTCACTGGGAACTAAAATAGTCCTCAGCAAAACCAGGCTGTATTTTCCAAATATCAAGCCACATCACATAACTGATGTTATTCTCAGAGTCGGTGTTCTCTTATTTATGATCATTCTGATGGAGACTTAGATTATTCAGTGGACCAAATCCCCTTAAATGCACAGTAATTTGAGACATTCACATGTGAACAGACTTCCTTCCACACATTGCCTTTGCTTTAGAAGTGATCAGCTCCATGTACTTCAGGCTTTTAGGAGCATTTGGGGATCAGCACAGGCACAGATGTGTTCCCTGCACGGCCCAGCTGCCCGTGGTCAGTAGCACTGATTGCAGCCAAAGTAGAGCAGTGGTTGGGTGAAGGTGGAGGTCCCAGCCTGCTCCCTTTGTTTTTTGGTTGTGTCCTGGGGGGTTGCTGGGGTGAAGGAAGCATAGGGAAGAACGCTGTTATCCTATGGCCAGCTGAAGTTTTGCAGACCTGGATCAGGTGGCCCAGTGGGGGCTGACCTCGTGTTGAGGTTCAGCCCTGCCAGGCTGTGCAATGCAACTTCCATCCCTCATCCAGAAGCAGGAGCTCTCTGCTCCTTGCAGCACTTTTGTTCCTGAGTGCTGTGACTCCCAGCATTCAGCAGCTCTTCACCTGCAGCTTCTGTCCTCCAGGGACTGACTGCCACCTCCCTCTGGTGGTGGCTTCCATTCCAATTCAGGAGCTTTCTGCTCTGCTCTTTTTACCAGATTTGGTGGACCTTTGGTACCACCTGTAATGGCTGGTCCTGTTTAAGTGCTCCCTCTGCCATTTTCCCACCACCTACGACCTGCTGAAGAGCAGAAAGTTTTGCAGTTGAATGAATCACCAGATCTTCTCCCTCTCAGCATCCTTCCTCGTGCCGTGGTCTCCTTCCAGCTGCTGCCCTCTCTTCCCAGGTTGGGATTGAAGGCAGCCAGGCTCTGTCCCAAATGAATGCGATGGAGATTGGCTGCACCCTCTGTCTGCATTGCTCCCCATCTGTTCTCAGGGACTCCCCACTTCTCGCTCCATGGGTACGTGAACTGTATTTCTGAGAATAAAACTGATTGGTGCTGTGTTTTTTGGGTTGGTTTTTTTCTTTTTTTTGGGGGGGGGAGGAAGGGAGGTCTTTCTAGTTGAACCTTCTGTGCTGAAGAAGGTGCACTGCTTGACTCTGAGGTGTGGGATCAGGGCTTGGACTCAGTGAACCCCATGGATCCTTCCAGTTCGGGGCGTTCTGTAGGGTGAAGGACCCCAGAAACCCACAGCAGAGCTCTGGGTGCTGAGTGAATGCACGTGCTCACTTGGTTGTGCTTTTTGGATGGGCAAATGGGCAAGAAGGTGTTGATCCTCTGGGTATCTGAGCTTGGGACAGGTGCCAGCATCTATTTTGCAATAAGCAGCTGTTAGCTCAGGGTCTCTGTGCTCACCTGTATGGAACTGAGGATGCTTGCCATGGTCCTGCCTGCACTGAGAAGTGATCACAGAGCATGGCCTCTCCATTTTGTTGCCTCAGCATTTGGATTATAAACGTAGGAAAAAGAAATAACCTTCTGGGAGTGCTGTGGTTTCTTTTTTCACTGTGAACCTTCCCAGGTCTCCTGCCGTACGTCTGAAGGCTCAGCAGAGGGCACCGCGGTCACCAAGCTGCTCGCTTTATCTGGCAGCTTTAAATCACAAAGTGCCCCATAAAGGAGGGTGGCTTAACTCCAATTCGGCTTATTTGTACGCTGCAAATTCTTCTTAGGGGTGGTGTTGATTCCAATAGTTACTCTTCCCAAAAATTGATGTTACCAAAGGAGAATGAGAAGCCACGGGGTGCACCGTATTCTTGCTGTCCCTCAGCTTTGTTCCCATCAGTTGATGGCAGCTCTGCAGAATGACTGGAACTGCTTGGAGTTGAGAACAGAGAACATGAAAGCTGGGACTCCTGTATTGCACACTGTGCATGTGCCAAAGGGCAAGGAGGGCTGGATGGCCTGGAGTAAAAGTACTTTGGTAACAGCATGGAGAGATGTCTGCTGAGAAATGGACAGGAGGACTCTCAAAGGGAATATAACAGACAGCCTGCACTGTGCCAGGAGAAGTGAGCCCAGAACTCATCCTGTGGGATGGGAGCATTTAAGGGAGCAGCTTGGCTTGGGAAGGAATGCAGTCCTGGGATGGACTGGCATGAGGGTGGTGGTAGTGATGTGTCAGCAGATCTGTGGGCAAGGACAGGAAAAGGGAGCTGCCAGCTTCCTGTGCACCTCAGGACAGCACTGCTTTGGTTGCAGTGCCAGAACTCCAACCTGAAGGCAGTGCTCACATCCAGGAGAGTGGCTGCTCAGGGACCCTGGGAGGAGAACCAGGAACACAGCAGTGTGGGAGGAGGCTGGGAGCAGCACTACATGAGCAGCCTTCTCACCAGGTTGGCTAAGGCCAATGGTTTGCAGCTGGGATAATGAGAGGGTTGGAGTCGTACTGCATTGCATTGGGGTTAGGATTGCAATGCAGTGCAAGTTGCATTCCGTCATTTGTTTGCAGGCAGAAGGAAGGCAAAGCCACCAAAACAAGGAGATGTGGCTGACTGAAAATGATGCAGCAGTGAAGCTTCATGGCTGAGCAGAGCAGTGCAGCAGGTACCTGTTATTCCATACTGTGTGCTCACATCTCACAGTGGGTGCTGTGCCCATGCCTGGCAAATCAGCCACCTCTCTCTGGCCGAGGTGGGCAGTGTGGGTGATGGGTGCTGCGATGGTAACAGACACGGGGAAGGATTTGGTTTGGCTGCAGGTGGTGCTGCAAGAGATGGCACTGCGTGGGGCTGGATGTACCACACCAGACACGTAAAAAGAGAAGAGTTTTATTGGTTATATACTGTAGAGCTGACAGCGTTCGAGTCAGGAGAGACATGCAGAGAAGTGTGGTTACATGTGGCATGCAGACTGCGAGCACTGGGACGGGGAGAGGTGAGCAGGGGCAGAGCTGCTCCCCTGGCTCTGTGGTTATGAAAACATTTATTGCATTATTGCCCTCTAACTAAGCTGCCCCAGCCCAAATCTATGTCCGCAAATACAAAAAAATAGATAATTATATATATATTTTTTTCCTCTTTAAAAATACATTCCATGCAGCCCCAGCACCATCCCCTACCGGGATCCTTTCCATCAGCTGCAGCAGCAAAGAACGGCTGGGAGCCCCCGTGCTGTGCGAGGGGCAGAGCTGAGGGCTGCACTGCAATGTCTGTGTGGTTGTTGCTCCATTCCCAGCACTGGGAGCAGCCCTGCACCCCCTCTGTCCTCTCGCAGAGCTGGTGGCTGTATGTGGGGATGGGGCTCCATCAGAGTGCAGTGGGGACACTGCAGTGCCTCCTTTACTCTGACCAAGGAGCGCAGACGCAGCAAATACATTTACACCTTTGGAATGAGCCTCGTGGCCTCAGGTCCTCTAAAAGCCCGTTATATTTATATGCTAAAATTACAAATATTTCTTCCGTGATGGCAATATTTACACATACACTATTTTACAGCCGTTCCAAAAAAACAAAACAAAAAAACCAAAACACAAAAGAAAAAAGTGTGCAATTTGAGTCAGAAGACATCGTGTTTCCTGAAGTCATCGCTCTAGCAATACAATCAGCTCCTATTGCACTCGCCATGACGGGGCAGAACCCCTCTCTCAAACTTGAGGTTTTCCTTCTCGGCCTGAACTGTGGCAGAATGAGGTTGGGTGGCACCACGTTTATTCAGAGCTGGAGATCTGCGCTGCAAAACGCGGGGCTGGCAATGGGGAACAGCCGCACAGCAGCTGCTCCCAGCCCTCCTCCCCTTCAGGCTCCTCCTTTCCCTCAGTGCCGTGTTGCCCTCCTGCTCCTCCCTGCTCTCAGACGGTGGAACGCCACCAATTTTCAGCACTGCAGGACCAGCGTTGCAGTGGGGGGAGGAGAAATGCAGCACAATCTGCATTGAACCGCAGAGTTCCCATTTCTCTCAGTTCTCTTGGTGGGTTTGGGGCTGCTTTGTTATGGCAGCAGCTGCACGCAGTCTTTCTCTCCCACCCCACAGAGCAGTAGGAGAAAGCATGTGATATAATTTAATATAATTTAGGGTGACTGGAGCTGCTGCAGGACTCATTTAAAAGCGCTGTCTTTTTGCCTCCTGAGGCAACCTGACGCATGGACACATCTCGAAACAGAATAAACTGCAATGCTAAAAAACACAGATTTGAGATAACATTTAAAACTGCCGAGAGGAAACTGGGAACTTTTTTTCCCCCCCCAAAATAACCTTTTTCCCCCTCCAGCCAATCTTTATTAAAAAAAAAAACTAATTAAAAAAAAATAATGCCATTGAAGCACCTTCGTGGGAGGGGTTGGTGGTAGTGCAGCCCAGCCCCAGGAACAGCCCATGGTGGGAGGGAGGGGGGCACAGAGCTGCAGTGGTTTGACATGCAGCCCCCTCACCTTATGGGTGTGTGGAGCTGAGGGGTGACCCCAGCACTGCTGCCATCTGACGTCGGTGGCACTGAGAAGGGAGCAGAACTCTGCAGCCCCTGACGTGGGTCCCGGGTGGGGGCTCCTGAGGAGGGGGGAGCAGTTTGGGGCTGCTCCACGGCCATCCTGGAGCTCAGTCTGGGGTCCAGTCCTGCTGTTTTCCCTCTTTTTGGAAGGAATAAGGATATCCTGCTTCTCCCATCAGAAGAAAAGCCCTCCTTTCAGCACCCCTTGGATCTCAGGGGCTCAGAGCCAGCACGACAGCCATAAAGCTGTGGGTGAAAAGCCCCTCCTGGGCCAAACCAGGAGCACATTTGCTGCTGTGTGCACTGCTGTGGGGCTGCTGCAGTGATCACTGAGCATCAGAGCTCAGCTGCTATCAGCAGATCATGCACAGCACAAGGGGAGGAAGCTGTTCTGCCCTCCCGCCCTGTTAGCGGGTCAAACAACCAGAGATTGCTTTTCTCCCACCTACAGACAGGAATGCAGGCGTGGGGTGAGTTGTGACCTGAGGAAGGTGTGGTGTGCAGTGGAGATCGTGGGCTCCTGGAGGAGCTGAGCACTGCGTAGGACGGCCATCCCAGCTGCAGTCACAGGACACCTCCTGCATCTCATCTGTACGTGGGTGATCGGTGAGAAGTTCTCTCTGGTCCAAGGAGTACCTTTGTTCTGTTTGAAATCATGGCTGGTACACAAGTCAGTGTTTTTCATATGGAGACAGAGCTGTGTCCTATGGAGAAGGTGAGGATTGCAGGTACAGAGGTGAGAAGTGGGAGTCCCCTGAGCAAAGTCTCTGCAGCTGCCTCTTCAGCAACGAGGGAAAAAATTCACTGGTAAAGCTCTTGTATCTCACAAATGGTGTCAGAAAACTGTTTTCTGGCTGGCTGAAGCTTCTGGAGAGGTTACAAACAGATGTGACACCCGTGAGCTCAGTACAGTCCTGTCTCTCGCTTTGTGATGCAGTGTTGGTTTGGTGGAAGGGAGTGCAGCTCATCTCCGGGACATCGGCCGGCCAACACGGGAAGCACCCTGCAAGAGAAGCCACAGCATCACAGCCTGCCAGGACCTGGGGGCTGTGGGGACAGGCACTGTGATCACCCTCATGTCCCACCCCCATTGGGACCATGGGCCTGTGGTGGGGCTGTGGGGGGAGGACAGTGGCAGGAGCAGTCTGGAAGGCATCAGCTCTCTCAGGGTTTACAATGGAATGAGCCCAAGGCAAACCGACCCATCCCTGCCCCTCACATACTTTCACCATCACCTTTTTGTATGTGGGCACACAGCAGCTGTTGCTACGCTGGGGATACGGATGTGGGAAGTGCAGTGAACAACCCCTGCCAGCACTGATGAGATGGAGCCGATCTGCCATGGCTGTGTGCAGGGCACAGCAGTGCAGGAGCACCAGCTGACAAGTAACAGTGTGTTACAGCTGACCTGACCGCACCCAAGCTTTTATTTGCTGTCTATCAGGCTGTGCACTGAAAGGGAGTCCCTGGTTATCTGACACAATGACCCCTCCATTGCAAAACACACTGCTGGGGATAACTAGGGGCAGAGCTTTTTATTCTCAGGAGGACGTCCTTAGCAATGAAGCTAGCTGAGTGAATCTAGAATGGAAAAATAAAGTACTACTTTTTCCCATTATAAGAAATTAGTAGTTAATTTACTCCGTATCTGGGAAGCACTGCTCTCCAGAGAGGTTCCCTCTGATGTGGACAACCGAGTTGTGTTACAGGAGGTTGGGTCACAGTTTGGCTTTGTGCCTTTGAGCCCTCATTTCTCCTCAGATCCACATACCTGGTCTTCTGCCTGGAGCCCTGGTGGGGCACTGGGGCTGGATGTGGGGTCCTGCAGCTCCAGGGTGGGGACTGCCCTTCTCCCTGCCGTGTCAGCCTGCGAGAGGTACTCAGAAGAGCCATACTGTTTTCTTCTGGAACTGGAGACAAAATTTTTGCTTTCATCCTGCGGGAAGGAAAACAGGAGAATTGGAACTCGATGTTTGTGGCCCTGGGTTCCCCAACACTGACTTGCAGTATGAGGTTGTATTTCAGTTCCCTTTGGCAGATGGGCACCGAAGCCACCAGCTGAGTTCGAGGATGTCCTCACCTAACCACTACCTCACAAAGGCTTGTTAAATCCATCCCATAATTTACAGCCTTAAGTTCTGGGTGCTGAACCTTCTGCTCAGCCACGCAGGGCTGTGTTCAATCCCTGTGCCCATAGCACTGCAGGCTCAGGAGACTCAGGAAGGCATGTGGGGCAGCAGGAACTCCTCATTTGGTGACCGAAGCAATCTCTTAAAAACATCAACTGCGAGTCTGAGCTCATGAGTGAGGTGGTAACCTGAATCTATTTTCTTGGCAATGAGGATGTGTGAGGGAGCGCCTTGTGCTCTTTTCCTGGCAGAGGCATTTATAAATACCCATATTACGTTTTACACTTGCTGATCTTTTCTTGACTGCCTGCCAAGACCCCCATGGGACCCCGTGGGACCCAGGTGCCCACAGTTTCTGCCTGGGGGCTATTTGGAGCAGCTGTGCCTTTCACTTTGAGCTCCAGAGTGCAGAGACCCCATGAGCTCCCTGGGAACAGCAGATGTCAGCGCCTCTTACTGCCATCACTGGGCTGGAAAACCTTGTCTGATAGCTCTGCCGCATACAGGTTCCAGCATGTTGTAAGGCACGTCACCATCAGAATGCTACAGAGCTCCTGGGGACGCTGAACTCACCTTTTGCTCAGGGAAATGCAGCTGCACTGATGTGGGATAAAAGGCGTGGGGGCTCTGCACTGTGAGGGACGGAGGACAAAGCTCAGCCCTGCTCCCGTGTGCATGGAACAGCAAGGAAGGGAGGCATCCTCTATTGTAATGATGTCAGTCATCTTGATGAACCTGGGCAGCTTCCCAGCAGGTGGGCACCGCCTGTCTGACACAGCAGCTGCCTTTGGAGGGGACTGGGTCAGCACAGAGGTGCTGCATCCCCTGGAGCAGCCGACAGCGTCAGTGCCATGGGGCTGCTCAGCTGGACACGCTGTCCAAAAAGGCTTTCACAGGTGAGGAGCTCAGGGGGATGAGCAGGCAGACAGATGCCTCTCCCAGCTGCCAGCAATGGGCTGGGGTGAAGCACAGCACGAGAGGCACTGACATCACTGACAGATCAGCTTGCCCTGCTGAGACCTGGGCAGTGCTACGTGCAGGTGGGGACAGCAGCACCCTGCAGCCTGGGGTTGGCACACAGCATGCTGATTTCCAGCTCCCCATAACCCAGGGTTGGCTCAAAGCGTGCTGATTGCCTCAAGTTACCAACCTGCAACAACAGAACAATCGGTACCAGGGCACATCTGACTGCTGAAGTCAGAATGTTAGATGGGGATAAAGCTGTGTGCTTCTCGAGCAAAGCACAGAGCACAACCCTGGGTACTTTCAGGGAGACTTTCCTTCCTTCCTTCCTTACTTACTTACCTAACCCTAACCCTAACCCCACCCCTAACCCTCACCCTACCCTATCCTTGTAGGAAGGCACACATGAAGAAGAGCCTCGCTGGATTTTTCACCTCAGTTCTGCAGTACGTCCCTCCAACAGCAGCCACAAGAAGAAACCAAGACCATTCACCCTGCACTGCTGCTTGTCCAATCTGTGCCTGCTGTTTGTGTCTGCACTAACGCAGCCACTGCAGATTTTCAGTGAAGATCGGGCTGGTGGAAAACTGACTTCATTACCTGAAACACGGAGCCCAAGAGAATAACAGCAGGAGGTGATGCAGCTCCCCAGCTCTCTCCTAAGGGCTGTAAGCACCAGAGGGAGCTGCTCCTCCACCTGCACCTCTGCCCCAGCACTGATCCTTCAGCACTTACCCCAAGCAGACCCCCAAAGATCTGCTTCTGTCCTGCAGCCTTGCTCAGAGCTGCTCGTTAGCAATAAAAAAAAGGATGAAATTTAGTGAGGCCGAGCAGCAGGACTGCTGCAAGGCAGGACCTCTTGAGCTGCAAGGCAAGTTTGTGGTTTGCCAGAAAGCCAACCTTGTAGCAGGAGGCCTAGGGCTGGCTCTCTGTGTTCCCAAGTACATGAGCTGTCATTACGCAAAAGGAGACCTGCCTGGATTTATGGAAGACAAGTCCAGTATGCCTGTGGCACATGAGGAACTATGGCCAGGGAGAAGATATCACTTGGAACCTCACTCCTACAGGTGGGATAGAGATGGGGCTGCACACACCTGCCTCGAGCACAGGGGTGATGCCATTCCCCAGAGCTCCCTTCAAAACAGCAGATTTGGGCTGTTTGTTGAGGCTGATGAATGCCAACCACCATGTCTTTGTTCCCTGATGTATTCTTAGTGGCCAAATGTATCTGGAAGGCCAACCTGCACACTGCAACGCCAGGCAACAAACTCTCTGCAAAGCAAATGGTACAAATGCTTCTGTGCTTATTGCTGCCGAAGAAGTAGAACCATTTCACACACTGCCACCACCTCATCTTCCTCAGGGCTGCAGTCACCTGGTTGTGAATTTGTCCCCACTGGCTCCTCTTTGTAACTGGGAATGGCAGCAGCTGCTTAGATCAGCTTTAAGGAAAGAGCAGAAGTGGGAAGTGCAGTGGGATTTAATGGACTGGAAGGGCAGTGTGAGCATGTTTAAAATATGCCAGAGTCTGCAACTCTACAAGACAGACCATTGGTAAGGGTCAGCCCTGCTCTGAGTGACCGCTCCCTTCAGCAGCACCCAAGGGAACAGGAAAAGAAGAAATCCACTCCCATGGCCCTCACTTTTCAGATGGTGTAATGATACAGACCAAGGAAGGAGCAACCCTGTGCAACCAGGCAGCCCTGATCTGCTCAGATGTCCAGACAGCACCTCCAGTCCGGAGCCCAGCAGTTCTGGCTCTGCTTTCACACGTGCAGCCCTTCCCAAATGGAGCTACCCGAGGGACACCCCTACTCACACCTCATCTCCTCATCCAGAGCGCCACTCCAAGCTGACTGTGCCACGCAAAGCAATGAAAAGCACAGCAGATCCTACACCAGCTGGACCTATCTCCTCTGATCTCGGCGAGACCAAATGGGTAATTATCTAATTATCTAATTATCATACGGCAAGGAGTGCGTCATGGGGACACTTACAGGTAGCGTGGTGCGGTGCCAGGGGGAAGCCGTGGTGGGATCACTGGTGTAGTTCCTGCGTGTCAGCAGTTCAGATGCACTTAAGTTACTTTTGGTCCTTCGGGAGCCCATCTCAGGGGTGTTCCAGGAGTTGGTGCTGGCGCTGCTCCTCACTGAGCTCTGCTCCGAGGAGTTTGTTTGAGTGCTGTTCCCTTCCATCTCGGAGAGGTCCACTGAAGACCTGCACGCGTTCGTAGGGCTGGAAGCTGTGTTCTTCTCCACTTTTATTTGAGAGTCCTCCAGGGAATGTAAGCCTTGCCTTGTTCTCCATGAACTTCTCAGAGTGACGTGTTTGGTTTCGGATGAAATGGAGTCTGAAGAGCCGTGGCTCCTGGAGCTGGCTGCGTCCAACGGGAGCTCAGCGCTCTTCTCGGGGGGCTCAGAAGTCTTTATCACAATGCTGCTCCTGGAGACCACCGTTTCTGTTCTACTTCTCAGCACCGCATCTCCAGTCCTGTCGGTCTCAGATATTTTCAGGGCACTTCTATTGACCGCGACCTCAAAAGGTTGGGGGAGGCTGTTGGTTATCGGGGAGGGTTCATTTGGAGCAACCCTGATGTTGCTGGTGGTAATATGCCTTTCCTTTCCTGCTGTGTCCGTGCTGGGCCTTGGAACCGTTGGCTCAGAAGGGAAGATTGTGATACTGCTCGTCATTTTATTTGTGACCGCTTTAAAAACAGACTTCTGCTTTTCTGACTCAGTCTCAGTGACAGCCCCTCCCATGATGGCCTTCATGTCCTTCTCCACAATGGCAGGTTTAATGATGGCTTTGGATCTCAGAGCTTCTCTCGGGCTGAACGACCTTCTGGATTTGAGTCCTCCAGTGTCGGCGTCTGACGGTTTCACACACTTAGAGGAGTCCTCCTCGTGTACAGCGCTTTTGTCATTTTCAAAGAGAGATGCTCTAAAAACTCCCCTGGAATTAGAGAACTGCTTGGGATTGGCTTTCTTTCTCGTCTCAAAATCCGACTGAGTGTTCGCTTTTTTACTTCGCCCCATTTCTTCATCTGAATTAAGTTTCTCATGACTACTCTGGACGGTTTTGGAGTCTGCTTTTAAGCCAGCACTTACATGGCCTGCTGCTGCAGACTGCTCTGCGTCCTCCTTAAGAATCTGCAGGATGTCCTCCTGGCTCCTTGAGCGATGCGAACGCTTCGTTAGCGGCGATGCTCTCACGCTTTCCAGCGGCACATCCGCGAGTTCCTTCTCCTGGGGGATGGCGGCTCTTTTAGCCCTTCCCTCCAAGGGCTGGCGGTGCGACGCAGTCGAGGCGTTCGCCGCTTCTGCCTTAGAGCCGACGCAGTCCGACTCCGCTGCTGAGACGTGGCACCTGTACGCGGTGGCCACGCCGTTGGAAGCGGCGCAGTGCCCCCTGCATTGCTGCGCGTCCCCCACAGCATCGCTCCCCTCTCCCTGATTTGGTCTCAGCTTCTCAGCCAACAAAGCCACCGATTCCCCTCTGCTCGATTTTTCATCCCTCGTGTCTGCGCCGCTCTGGCAGCTGCCGCGGGTTGCCTGAGATGGTTTTTCAGCCTTGGATCTCAGCTCGCTAACGGGTTTGGGAGGTGTTTTCCAAGATTTCTGCTCATGAGCAGCGGGGGGGGTAGCGACTGAGGACAGAGGGCTGCTCTTTGGATCTCTTCCCCTCGTTCTGCGTGAAGGAAGCTTCCTTCTGACCAGACGAAAAAGTGGAAACCAAACACTTCTCTTCCAGTCTTTTCACGTCTGTTGCAGCAACATCTGCAAGGGCAGCTGCACCCGATGCCTTTCCTGCCTTCCTGCTCATGAGGCTCGGGCTGGCTGTCTGCTTACCGCCATGGCTGGAGCTGTCATTGCTGAAGGAGAAATCTCTGTTTCTCACTCTCTCCCGGCGCTGCTGGGGCGAAACCTCCCTTGGTTTGTGCTTGGCAGCTGTGAAATCTGCTGCAACAGCTCTGTATTTAGCTCTGTCATGTTTCCCCCTGCTAGAGAAGCTTGCATCTTCATTTTCAACCTCTCCATTTTCCAGATCTTTCTGTTTCTTTATTTGCATTTTTATTTCTTCCAACTGACTGGTGAGAAGTTTGTTTTTATTCTGTTCACTCAAATAACTGTCTTGCAGGTCGCTGTTTTTGGCTCTCATTTTTTTCAGTTCTTCTTCTAAGGATTCAAAATGTTTGATCTGAGTTTTAAGCCTCTCAATTTCTTGGGTGAGATCTTTCACTTTGTTGTCTTCCTGATTTTTATTCTTTTGGTTTTCTGATTTATTCCTGGTTTCATTTTCTACATGCTTTAGGTAATCTACGCTTCCCTTCCGCCTGGTTTCTTTAGAAGGCAACGCAGAAGTCAAATCATCTTCAATTCTCAAATCATTTCTGTCCAGGAGATTGTTTGATGACCTTTCCAGCAAGTTGGATGCATTTCTAGTTTGATCGGCCCTGTTTAATTTGTTGTTTTGCTCCAGTTTCAGCGTGAGCTCCTGGATTATTTTTTCATTCTGCTTTTCTCTTTCATTAAAATGTTTTCTCTCACTGATAAAGCTCAGTGCTAAAGACTTCAGCTTTTCTAACTCACCTGTTAAGCTCTGCTCGGTTTTATCCATCTTCTCTTCAGACGCTTCAAGTTCCTTCACTTTCACTCTTAGTATCTCTAACTCTGTAGATATCTTTTTGGTCAAATTCCGTTCTTCGTTGAGGCTGAGGCACAGCTGCGTGCAGTCGTTCTTGCTCCTGCCAAAGGCCTCCTCCAGTTTCTCCAGCTCTGCCATTCTCTTCTGCAGATGCTCAATTTCTGACTTCAGCTCTCGGGTGAGGCTCTCCTCTTCTTCAAGTTTTTCTTTCATTAACCTGCAAAGCTCTTCAGCCTTCTTAATTTCCTCATCCTTGCCTTCAATCTTTAGCACTCTTTTCCGCAGGGCCTCGATGTCAGCCAGCATGCTGGAATTGCTGCCTTCTGCCTGGATCACTTTGTCCTGGAGCTCCAGCAGCTCATCCTCTGCTTTCTGGAGATTTTTCGTCGCTTCTTCCAGTTCATCAAGGCGGCGGCTGAGACTCTGCAACTTGAACCGCAGGTGCCGACTGGAGGTCTCCTTATAACCTGTAAATTCTGCCATGTTTGTTTTCTGCTCCTCTGAGATGGGAGCTCGGCTGATTCCGAGTGTTTAAAGCGTGTTCCCGGTGTGTTATACTTCCTTTGAAGAAAGGCAGCTCAACCTGAAAGAAATAAAGTGCTTAAAGTGAATACAAGAGTTCAGAATACACGTATTCTCACTCTATAAATGAACTGCAAATATTTATATTTTTCTTATTTAAACACGTTTCTGAGTGCCAATTAGGGACAGCAGCTGCCAGCCAGCACTGCCCATCACTTCCAGTACCCCTCCTGCAGCCCACGTCACTCAGCATCCAACTTCACCTGAGCTGCAGTCACATCCCGTGTCAGTGAAGTTTCAAGTTTCTCCCTCCTCTTTCAGAAGCTGTCAGTGCCCTCAGCTGCCACCCACTCCTGCACCCAGGAGACAGCAACTGCAAGCACTCACGCTTTCTACTCCCTGTTGCCAGGGATAAAGAGCAGCAATTTCAACACATGGGCAAGCTGTGACGCAGTAAATGCAACTCTTCCCAGCTCAGAGCCAGCAGGGCAGGGTTAGTGAGAGCTGGGGACAATGTGAGTGGGCCAGGACAGCTGATGCAGGATGAGAAGTCCCCTCTGACTGCGGGCATTTGCACTGAGCCATCCTGGGCTCAAGATAGATCCCAGCCACGCACTGCATGTACTAAGTACAAAATATCATCAAACCACAGAACGGTTGGGTAAGAAGGGACCTCAAAGCCCCCCCAGCTCCAACCCCTGCTGTGGGCTGGTTGCCCCCCGCCAGATCAGGCTGTCCAGAGCCCCATCTATGGCACTGGGCGCCTCCCCGTCTCTCCTGTACTGAACACAATACTCCAGATGGGGCCTCACGAGGGCAGAGCAGAGCAGACAATTCCCCCCCTGCCACTGCCATCCCTCTGCTGATGCAGCCCAGGGTACTGTTGGCCCTCTGTGCTGAAGGGAGGTGAGTGCAGCTCTCAGACCGGTGGCCTGGCTCAGCGGTCCGCCTCGAAGCAGGATGCGGCTCCAGCATTTCTGCTGGAACTCCCCGCAGAGGAAACACTCCGGAGTTTCCTATTTCACAGTGCCAAGAGGTGAAGAGCAGGATGTGGGGAGGAGACAGCAGCGGGAAAGGAGACTGCGGTGCCCCAGTACAAAGCCTTTGATTGAAGCTGATTCATTTCCTGACGAGCGGAGGGGCCTGCAGTGCAAACAGGGACCCACAGCACACAGCACGCACCCGCCATGCACCCCAAGCACCTTCTGTGCGCAGCACACACCCCGCGGTCCTCCTGCTGAGGGACAACTCAGACCACAAAGGCCACGTGGAACCGCGGCTCTGCTGAGAGGCTGACTGCTTTGGCTGCAACCAGGAAAGGCTGCTCAGCTCCAGGCAGGATCCCAGCGAGAAACGTCACCAGAATGTCGCAGGAAAGGACAAAGCGATTTCGCAGTGCCCTAAAAAACAACAGTGCTCCCAGCGTGCCTCGGAGCAGGGAGTTAATGGTTAACGCCATGTCAGGCACTGGTCAGGAAGCAGCTCAGGCCCAGCAGCCGCCTTCCAGCCCGGCTGTCAGGACGTGGGCTTGGGTAAGGGACTCTCAGTGGTGCCTACCTGGAGCTGATGGGAGTCTCCAAGAGGAAGGACGGGAGTTCTGGGCACAGACTGCTGGGAAGGGACACGTTACTGTTGGTGAACCGCTGTTGAACCGACTCACTGCTCCACCACAGTGCTCTCCCAGAGCTGGTTCCTGCAGAGCTTGGACCTTGGCTACTTATCTGCCTTTATACCTGGTAACCCTGGGTGGAGAGCTTGGTGGGGATTATTTGTCAGGAGTGAGACCCTCTAGCTACACTGTCACAGCCTGTGGGTCTAAAGGAGGGGGATGCTAAGACAGGATCCCAAGAGTCACTGATCTCTGCGGATGCCAGCAACTGTTCAGAGTCCCAGAGGAGAACCAGATTTTGGAGAAAACATTCTAGCCTCTGAATGAAGTTGGAAACTGAACTCAGCAATTAATGGGGAGGCAATGACACAGCCCGCAGCAAAAGAATCACCAAAGACATCCATCCTAGACAAAAGGGACCTTTTGAGGTGATGCCTTCCCCACACACCTTCTCAAATACCAGGAATTAAGGGTCCTCTCATAAAGACCACAGCTGCAAAGAGTGTCTCTGCAGCCACTCTTCCCTGCAACGCTTACCGCAGCAGCTGTGGGTCACTGGAGGTCTCAGCTTCCATAGGATCTGAAGCCTCCCAACAATCCTAATCTTCTTCTGCAGTGTGTAGGAGACAATAACTGGGGCTGAGCTCATTGCCAGTGAACTGATATGCTGAGCAAACAAGCTGCTCTGACAGGAGTTATCCTTTGATTTGTATTTAGAATTCCTCTTTCCAAATTTTAAACAGTGGCAGCCACTCTGCCCTCTGGTTAACTGGCTGTCACAAAGGAACATCTGCACTCAACAGATTAGCAAGGAGAGGCCTGCAGGTGCACTTAATGCCACACGCACCTCCAGTCTCCCCACAACACCACCTCAGCAGAAGCATTTTGTAATGCACTCCACCTGGTTCCTTAGGTCTCTCAAAGGTAGACCCAGCCAGCAGTTGCTAACATCAAACAGACATCGGGATTCTCAGTGCTTGGGAGACTCCTGGAAATAATCTCAGTTGATCATGGCAACAACTGTCTGCCTCCTGGGTGTTGAAACACTTCTTCTCAAACCTTTTCTGGGGTATCCTCTGTCTTGTACCTTATTTGATGTTTCTCAGATGTCATAACCCCTCATCAAATACAGAACAGTTGAAAGATCTCAAAGCAAGAGGACAGGACAACTTCTAAGATTTGCTATTCTCTAATTCTGCATTTCTGTTTTACCTGTATCCTCTCTTCTCCCCTTCCATCTGACGGTATCCGCTGTTCTCCCCTTCTCCTCTTCTGCTTTTCTCCCTTACCTGCATCCTCTCTTCTCCACTTCTCTGCTTCTCCTTTTCTGTCTTCTCTATACGCTCTCCCATTCTCCTCTTCTGCTCTTCTGTATTTCAAGTATTCTTTCTTGTCTTCTTGTTGTCACCTCTTTTGCTCTTCTGTCTTATCTATACCCTCTCTCTCCCTTTGTTTTACTATTCTCCTCTAGTTCACATCTTTCTTAACAATATCCTCTCTAATCTTCTCCTCTTCTGCGCTCCTTTCTTACGTGAATCCTCACTTCTCTTCAGCGCTTCTATTTTTCTGCTTTTCTGGGTCCCTGCATCTATTTTCCTCTTCTGCTGTTCCTTCCCACATGCAAGGACGTGTAAGAGGTACAGTGTACTGTAACAAGCTTCCCTGGGGTCAGCAGGACCCTTCAAATCTCTAGCTACACTGGTCATAGAATCACAAGGTTGGTGATGGGGTCTATGTGGCACAACAGATCCCACAAACACGACTTCAACCCTGAGCTCTGAAGAAGCTGCATGGGAACATCCCCATCCTCACCAAGCTCCACGAACAGAGGACTTCCTTCATATTCCAGACAAACTGTTGCTACACGTACCCTACCAGCCCACAACTGCTCAGCCCATGAGCTCCTTTTCCATCCAACCCAACTTTTCCTGTAGTTACGACTCAACTGGGGGCTTTCAGAAGTTCCCTCAAAAGAAAACCAACCAAACAACAACAGCAAAAAAAACACAACCCAAACCCAACAACCAAACACACACTGTGAGAACTTTCCAAAGTCCTCTGGCAGTGGATCACAGCCTTCTGATGTAGGAATGCAGCGAACTGCTGCTCCTCACAGGTGAGTAAGCACTGAGAAAATGAACCTTCTAAGAGAAAAGGTGAGATTTCTTGGCTTTAGCTCACACTACTGCAGAGTTTATAGATGAGAGCTGGTCTCGTCCTGCAGACAACAGCATATTGAGAGGACGTTCACTCATTTCATTCTAAGAACACTTTCTAGAAGGCTTCAGATGTCTTACTTATACCCTCTATCTCTCACCACGTGAAGGGAATAAAGCAGCTCCAGCTCAGATGGCAAAGGTGAGGGGAGAGAAATCCCAAGTAAAGATTCCTTTCTGGATGTAAGAGGAATCCTCATTCACGCCAGCTGTCAGCGTGGAGCTGCACGTTTCTAAACCTGGGATGGCTCTCTTGGGTGAGACTCTTTCAGCATATTTTACAGTCAGAAATCTGCAAACTTCAGGAGAAAGCCTATTCCAACTCCCTACCTCCTATACACCTTTATGAGAGACCTTCCAGTGGTTTGTACTGCGTATTATTAATGAGTGCCAAGCAGCAAAGCTTGTATGCCATCTCAGCCTCACAGCCTCTATCAATAGGGCATTTTTACATGATTTCTACCCTACTTTACGTTTCTTTTTTAATAGGCTTTAGTGTGGAAGAATCTCCAGGAACAAAGGGCTGCTACAGCCCTCGTATTACTGGAAGTCCATTGATCTCCAACTGCAAAACCCATCATCAAACCGCACAGCAGTAGTGTTCAAAGCATGCAGCAGAGCAAGAACTGCTTTCCCAAAGCTATTTGAAAACCAGCAAGTCAAAAGATGTATTGAATTGTAACATCCAAAAGGGAGGATAGGACACTGATACATGCAAATAAGCAACCAAAAAGCAAACAAGATTTACAAGACAGTCTAGCTCAAATCAGCTGCAACTGAACTTAACTGGCAGAATCACACCTTGAAAATCTTATTCTCTGCTTAAACATCCTCATGAATCTGGTCTCTAGCTGATTTGTTATGATGATATCCCAAAAGTGAGCAGTATGAAAAGGACACAGAGCCACCCAAAGGACGTGGTCCTTATCTGTAGGGCCAGGCTGCGGTGCCCAGTGCCAGGACAAGAGGCAACGGGCACAGACTGGAAGACCAGAGGTTCTGTCTGAACATCAGGAAGCACATCCTTAATGTGCATGAGATTTAGCAATGGAATTTAGCTACCCAGGGAGGTTGTGGAGTCTCCTCCTTGGAGATATTCAAAAGCTGTCAGTGCTAGACAAGCAGCTCTGGGTGTCCCTGCTGAAGAGGTGAGGTTGGACCAGACAGACTCAGAAGGTCCTTCCAATCTGCACCAGTTTTCAGTTTTGTGATCACATATAAAGAATAATTCAGATTTAACTCACCTTGTTCCACTGCAAGAATGTGCACGAGCGTTCGTTTTGCAGAAAGCATCTCCTTCCCTGAACGAATTTTTACACTTTGTTTAAAAACTCTGCCTTCTCCTGTTTACATTGCCTAGTTTCAATGTCCTGAACAACCCGGCCAAGTACATTTTTGAGCAATGTGGAACCTGAGCTGTATTTAAACGTGCAATAATGAATTACTAGTGGTTTTCCTCAGGGGGCGACGGTGTTTTATGTCTTTATTAATATCCTAGATGATGAGACAGGATGTGCTGTGCTCTCAGCAGCCCCGTGGTTGACAGCAGCCTGGGAGGTGGGCGATAAGCTGGAGGGCTGCTGTTCAGAGGACCAGTTTTATTTTCACCACTGGTGTAGCCAAACACTGGCATTGGGTCCCTGAAGGGTTGTGACATCTTCATTGCTGGGAGGTATGTTGAGCTCCACACCAAGCCCTGGGACAACCCAAGCCCTCCACAACTGGTGTGATTTATTACAAATGACTCAAGAGGCTCAATGTGTTTACCTTAATAAGGAGAAGAAAAAGACTAAGAGCAACATCTTCTACAAAGAAATTCCTATCTGCCGGAGCTCTTCTACCAGGTCTTTCACTGCTTACAAAGTCAAGGCTCACACCAGTGCCTGCAAACTAAACCTAAATAAAGGACAAGTACAAATAAATGCACATTTCTAAGTTTATTCAAAGTTTCTAAGGCTGATGGGACTTAATGGAGATAAAACACAACCCGTAGTGGCTGTTTGAAGTTGGTCCTGCTTTGAGCAAAGGTGAGAGACCTCCAGCTGCACTGCCAGCCTGAAAAGGACACAGCAAAAATTGGAGATGGTGGCAAACACAGTAAGGACAGTTCAGTGAAACAGAGCAGTACGAATCACTGATAAAGGGAGGTCAAACACTGCAGGGGGCTGCGTGCTGTTAACGCACAAATGGCCGCAGCAGAATTGCTATCTACAGAAGCAGCCCATGCACTGCTGCAGCTCCAAGACTGACCAGTAGGGAACGATGTACAGAAGTTGTGTTATTTTGAATGCAACCCTGAGCCATGTATTTACAACCCATGTCTGACGCACTTTACAAACTGGGAGATAACTGTGCTTCATTTCAGCAACTGCAACAGAACAACTACCAGACTCATAATTTCTGCTGGAAGCCCTTAGGAGCCTGACACTGCTCCTCTCCAGCCCCTCAGAAGCATCTTGCCTTAAATCCCTTGCTCTGTGATAGGGCTGTTGGCATTGAGTCCCACAAGCTTTAGAGCATCTTCAATGTGCCCATGTGCAAACAGCTGTTGGCACCCACTGCCACCACCCTCTCCACTGACCCAAGACAGACATACTGCATGTTGGAGGACTCCATCATCCTGCATGAATACATCTGGCACTTCATCTCTTACAGTATCCATCACTGTGAGCCAAGGGCACATCCTATACCCTACATTTCAGGCTTGGCCAATCCTGAAGATGAGTGAGAGTTATTCGTGCCTCAGCCTGCAGCCATTTTTTCATTCATTTCTCCTGCTCTTGAAGCTGGAGAAGTTTTCAGTAGTCACTAAAGAGCAGCACTCATCACAGGCAACAGAAAGTCAAGAGCTTCAAACACAGCAATAATTGGAGACAAGAAACACAATTCACCCTACTGCAGCTGGAGTCCTTGGGGCACTCCATGCTGCACACCTGAGCTCTGCATTCCCCAGCTCACACGTGGTCCAGTTTCTGGGGAGAAACAGCACAGGGTTGTTGTCCACGTTCTGATGGAGCACACACCTGGTCCTCCTCCCTCCTCCTCCTCCTCCTCCTCAGACACTTGGGGTGAGCTCAGATCCTCCCTGCTCTATTTTCTGCTCAGCTATTACTCAGAACACCCGTGGGAAGTGGATTTTTGCACTGAGCACAATGCTGGGAGTGTTTGTGCACACCTGGGGAACGGGAGCCTCAGGCAACATGGGGCACCAGACCAGGCAGACTGCAGTCACTGCAGGCACAAGGACTTCACTACAGACAGATCAGCAAAACCAGGGCAGTAAGGGGATTCCTCTCTGCAGCCTCATGGCCAAACAGGTTGGGGAGGAAATGGATCAGACTCCACTCTGGCACATTTCCACCCAAAGCACAGGCTAGGTGTGTTTGCTGGAATCTGCTCTGTGTGCGTAAGCATCTGTAGTTTTAATTGAAGGGTTTCTGGTGCTGCAAATGTATGCAAGGCAGCGTGAACGTGTCACGTTCAGACGTGGTAACACCACTGATTGGTGTCTGTACCATCACTCAATGTGATGAGAGCAGTGGTGGGATTTCTTTTCCCTGCCCCAGGGTGGGACAGGCTGGGAGGAGTCCAGTGTGTCATTTCTCATTTGTGAAGCGAAACATCACTGCCACTTACACAGCAAAGGAACACGGGTGTCACCAGCTGCAGCAGATAAGGATTCTGTGGTCAGAGCCAGCTAAAGACGGAAGGAAAGTCTGTCTTAATTTGATTTTGCCTTTTATGAGCTCCTTCCAGCGCCCCATTCCTGACCCCACAAAACAATATGCAGATGTGGGAACAGGAGAAAAAACACTCCAGAAAAAAAAGCAGTATAAAATAAAAGATAGACTAAACAAGAACTAGTCAGAGCCCACCAAGACTGCGATGTGTCACTACTTCTGCACGCCAGCCACAGGCATCCAATGCTGCGCTGGAAAGCAGCAGATGATGCGTTGGCTCACATAGTGGATAGGGGCACCCTGGCCCCACTGAACACAAAGGCAAAATGTCAAGTGACTTGTAGGGATGTCTGCATTTTGGGGCACCCCCTGGGTGCCCGTTGGAAGGATCTGCATCTGCTGGAAGAGGGAATTCTCAAAGTCACAACAAGAGAAATAGTCTGGAAACGGTTTAATATTGACTAATGCAATGCTAGACATGTGAAATGATGAGACAGCAGCCAAAAATAACCACAGTGTTCAAGGAGACTAAAACAAAAATCCCGAACAGCATCTACAGCAAAGTATTGGGGACTGCAGCACTGCAGCTGCAGAGAGGATCTGCTGCGTCACTGTCACACGGCTCCTGCACTGACACTCCCATCCCCTGCTGCACTCCTCGCAGTGCAAAATAACTTCCTCTGCCCCAGGAGCAGAGCTGGAAGCCTGCAAAGAGCAGAGCATTGCAGCCCCCCCAGCTGCTCAATGTCTGTAGGTGCTCAGAGCAGCGCTGCAGCTGGAACACAGTCCCTGCTGCTTCCCCATGCCCTTTTCTGCACAGCTGCAGCTCTGCTTTGGCTCCCCTTCCAAATTCCCACAACATCCGTGAGTCAAAGCTCGCTGCACGCAGATCTGAGCCTTCAGCCATTGGGTAAAGCACCATCCATCAGGTTGTTCTTGCGTGAGCACCAAACCGAGCTGTGCGAAGCCTGTGCAATGGGAGCCCTGTGCCAAAGAATCTGGACCTCCTGCACAGAAACAGAACAGTACTTGCAAAGCCTCTCAGCATGCTGCTCACTGCCGGGTATCAAAAGGTGCCTTGCACTTAGCTATGCTTACCTATGCAGCAGCTCAGTTCTCTCTTTCTAGAAGCTCCATATTGCCCCCATACTTCAATTTAGCAACATTTTGTTTCTTTATGGGCAGGCACTGAGGTTGGTAGGCAGGTGGATTGTGTCACACCACAGGCCAAGCTGCCTTCCTCACACTTCTGAGAGAAATGTCCCATACTGCACTGGAGGAAGATGCTTTTCCTCTTGGACTCAATGCCCCATGCTGCTACTTGTCCTCAGAAACAAATCTTGCTGTCACATTTCATTTCACAAACACCACGTGGGCATCTCTCCAGCACTTCACAGAGCTGGCAGCACTCTGCATGGGGAAAGCGGCTCCAGCTCAGTGCTGCCTTTGGGACTCGTATCCAACACAGAGGGTCTGTCCTGCCCTCCCCAAAAATGTGGGGGTAGGGACACTGCCCTGCATAAAGAGCTATAAAATCTGCAGAGGAATAGAGCAGGTGCCGTTTGCTGCAGTTTGTAGAACACAAAGTGATGGGATATCAGAATGACCAGACAGAGATTCAGAGCAAGCAGCAAAGCCATAGGAATCACTGCTTGCAGGATGTTACCAAAAGTTCACACAAGTCCTGAAAATGATAAAAAAAAAAAAGTGAATGGAAGAAACTTTCAAAGACTATTAAATGTAAAAACCATAAAGTCCTACGACTCAGGAAGTCTCAGGAAGTTAGAAATCGTACTGAATATCAGCACTGTTCTCATGTTCCTTCCAACACCTGCTTCGGATGCTGGTGCAGGTGGGATGCTGGGGATGCGGCTCCTTCATCCAACCCACAGCTCCCTCTCTGCTGCTTCTTCTCCCCCTCCCCTTCAGTCCACTTCTCCAAGCTCCATTTCCCTGGTAGCCAGCACTTGGTGAAACCTAAGACCTATCTTCCACCTTGTTCCTAGAACCCATTTCTTGCCACTGCTGGAGACATGGCATGGGCTAAGCAAACCCTTGCTCTAATCCAGCACATCTCTTACTATCTTCTCAGGCTCTTTTTTGTCCCGTTCTAAACACCTACCCAGGTCAGATAAGGTCAGCTTTGCCCCACAGGCAGGAATAACACTGACAAGTGCCATACCACATACAGGCTGCAGTGCCCCAAAGCATCAACCCAAGCAATTTTACCACCCAGCAGCATTTACAGAGCTGGGAAAGGCATCCTGCCACCATACACCAAACAAGATC